GTCCGGCCTTAATGAAGTCAAGAATAATTTTCAAAAATACTACCATTGATTAGTCTATGATAAAGTACAAAGGCAGAAGTGTATTGAAACAGTATAATATGCCCAAAAAACCAACAAAAAGGGGCTACAAGATTTAAACAATCGCTGATAAAAATGGCTATCTATATAATTTTGATGTTTATACAGGCAAAACAGACGGCTATGAAGAACACTCTTTAGGCAAAACAGTAGTTCTAAGGTTGACAGATAACTTAAAGCAAAAAAAAAACATGTTTTATTCTTTGATAATTTCTTTAATTCCTATGACTTACAAATAAAACTAAAATACCTCGGATTTTATTCATGTGGAACAGATATGTCAAACAGAAAGCATTTGACAAAATTACGTGAAGATAAGCAACTAAAGCAGGGTGTACGAGTATCTTGCAAGTAGTAATGGAATGACTTTTATTAAATGGACAGATAGGAGGTCTGTTCATATTCTTTCCAATTTTCACGATCCCACCTAGATAACTTCTGTACAAAGAAGGCAAAAAGATGGATCGAAAATGGCACCTCTGTACCTCAAAGAGTTAAAGACAATAATTGTTTAGGTAGTACTATTGTGATTTTCACACGTATGGCATTATTAAGAAACAGTTTTTTATATTAGATACCTACGTCTCTTTTTTACTCTCTCTCTCTCTTCAATCCTGACCCCCCAGGGGGAGTGTAGTGGTCGACGTGATGTCGTGTATTGTCGGTCTCCAGAGATCTCTGTCTCTGGTCATTTCTTTTAATTCATGCATAGGTCTTTGGCATATTTCTGTAATTTGATCTATCCATCTTGTTGGGGATCTTCCTCGTGATCTTCGGCCTTCTACCTTCCTTGTATTATGAGTCTTTCCATGTTTTCTGTGTTTGTTCTCATAACATGCCCAAAATATTTTAATTGTTGGAGATGGACTTTACTAGAGAGTCGTTGGCTAACTTTTTGCTCTCTTAAAATTGAATAATTTGTTCTACGGTCGGTCCAAGGAATTCGTAACATTCGTCTCCAACAGAACATTTCAGTGGCGTCTATCTTTCTTCTCTCCGATTGTCTCAGAGTCCAAGATTCACATCCGTAGGTCAGTATTGGGAATATTAAGCAGTTGATCAACCTTATCTGTATCGCTCTTGAAATTTGACATTCCTTCCATATTTTGGTCATTTTTGCTGTGGCAACTTTTGTTAGATCACATCTACGTTTAATGACACTGTAACCACAATTGACCCTTCTTGTAATGACCCTGTGTTTGTGATTATTGATCCCAGATATAAGTATGAGCTCACAACCTCGAACCGGTCAATTGTGGTTATGTGTGGATGATTGTTGTGTAGTCTATCCACTATCATGATCTTTGTCTTTGATATCTTTAATTGCGGACCAAATATTTGACTTTCGTTTTCGATCAGTCGTATAAGTTCCATCAGCTCTGCTTGACTATTTGCAAGAAGGGCTGTGTCATCTGCGAAACGTAGGCTTTTTTATTCACAGAAAAACCTTGAAATTAACCAATTTATCTGTACACAAGAATATACATTAAAATAAAGACAGCAATATGATAAAACCAGGTTATTGATGATACATTTCGAGTTTTGACAAGGTCAAAATAACTTTTTGACTATGTCGATTGAACTAGTTTTTGTATTGTTTAAATTAATTTCAGTTTCTTGCCCTAAATAAATTATAAATTAAATTATTAGCTTAGTGATAAATCAATCAATTATTTAAAGTAAAAATATATTTAATATAGCTAAAACCAGAATTTAAAACCTATTAATAATAGCTTAGAATACCAGTTTCTATTTTTTTTACATCTTACTATAGTCAACTTAAGTTTAGTTTTGACTTAAAAGTTTTGATTTCATTTTGATAAATTAAATGATTGCAAATATACAGAAACTCGCTGAAAATTTAAAAATAGTTTTTTTTCTAGTATCAAAAAATTTGTTGGTTATAGCAAGATCTAAGATCTAAGATCTAAGCAAGACTTGCCAAGAGATCTAATCTTGGCTTTAAAATATATCACATCGTCACTGTTTTAAAACACGTCGCTAACACGTCAGTGTTTTAAAAGTATATTTTAACCATTACCATTTATATAGTTAATCCAAAGCAATTAATTAAAATAGAGGTGCTTTTTAACGACACATACATACAGTGCTTGGACAAATAAATTTTTAAATTGTCTTACACAGCTCCACTGTTAAGTTAGATCATCACTTTTTCATGAATATTATTATAATTTCAATTATTGCTAGTTCTAGTTCCTACATAACATTATAATATTTTTAACGTATCAAGAAAATATAGGAATTCAGGTCCTCTAACATTTCGAAGTTAAATTGAAAGTTCATTAAGTGACGTTTTAAAAGTGAATTCCCGCGAATAAAGTATGTCTATTAATTATGCAACCAAGAATACATTGCAACCTCACCTCTTCGCTGCAACTTTTATATAGTAGTATATTACTATGATTAAAAATCTATTTTTATATAATTAACTGTTTATATTATTATTAACTATAATTTGCATGACCTAAGAAATATGACTGATTTGTGGGTACACAAAAAATAATTGAAAATCCTAAAAACTTGGCACCCAAATACTCAGCTTCCTTTTTATAGCCTCTTAAACGTTTTGCATTAGCTTACTCTCAAGTTTATCGCAATTTGTGACTTTTCCCTTCCAGTCACAAGTCTGTTTATCGATGTCAAACGCCAATCCACTGGGACAAGTGATCTGTTTTAGACCGGATTTTGTACACCTGTACGTTAAAAGGAAATTTAATATAGTGAAAAAAGATAAGAAATAGTGACCTTTATAACAATCATTGAATTTACTAAACTTTTTTTACTTTTTATTGTATTAGAAATTTTTATTTTAATTATTAAATTAGCTTTTTCGCTGATTTAGCTCGATTTTAGAAGATTCGAGTACTTTTACAGAAAATGCCGAGACAATTTAGGTATATCGGTAATGCATATCTGAAACTCAAAAAGTAAAACTCAGGAAGATAAGGAAGCAACTCTGCCTGGGGTAGGGTGAGGAACGGGTAGATTGAGTAGCTCGGAAATCACCTTACTGCGTCCGGTCCCAAGCCTGGATAATAGAGGAGGGTTGAGCGGAGGGTTACCTACCCACCCTCGGAAAAAGAAACTAGTTATAAAAACTGCAACTTTGCCTCGGAACCGGAAAGATAAAGACAAAAAACGACAAATGCAATGTAAAAGGACTATGAATATTGGAACTTGGGATGTCCAGAACTGGTACAGACCTGGAGCAATATAGGAATGGATATAACAGCCGTCCAAGAAATAAGATGGCCAGACGATTGAAATATAAAAATTAGTAAATCCACAATCTTCTTCAGCGGTAACAAAAACGCAAGACATGATTTTGAAACGGGCTTTGTGATTAGAGACTACCTAGTACAGAATATACTAAATTTTAAACCTATAAATGAAAGGATATACTACATACGAATGAAGGGAGAACGATACAACATTTCGATCATCTCAGCGCATGCACCAACGGAAGAGAAGGATGAAGATATCAAGGATGACTTCTACGATGCCCTAGAAAGAGACATAGATACGATGCCCAAACATAATATGCGCATACTCTGCGGGGACTTTAATGCTAAAATAGACTCGACAATGGCTTAAGACTCACAGAAACTGCAGCAGCTTATAATAATAATATGCCAATAAAGTCAACCATGTTTCCGCATAAAGACATCCATAAGCAAACCTGGGTCTCAAACGACATTTCGGGTCAAACCTAGGGTCAACATTCGATTTGACCCTAGGTTGATGGAAGACCGAACAAATTGGAAAAAAGTTGTACAGTCAGCCAAGATCCACCCAGGGTTGTAGCGCTACGTGATGATGATGATAAAGATAAGAAAGCAGTATGTTGAAACTAGTAAAGTCTCATAATATCACAGAAACCTTCAAGAAAGAACTGATGTGAAACATATTGTTAAGTGGTCTGTCTATCAAAAGTACACTGGGGCACTACTTTCTAGAAAGAACTGATGTGACACATATTGCTAATTGGTCTATCTATCAAAAGTACTCTGGGGAAAACTATAAAAATAATCAAACCTCTAACTCTTTCCCTAAAAAGTTATGATGATGAAATCTAAAAATTGATAATAACGGGATTTATAGCAAGGAGCTCTCAGATTATACCCAAATGCTACCCGAAAATGAAATAGGGTCTATATAAGATGCATTCGTAAAATTTAGATGATTAGTTTTTGTTAATATATGGCAGTGATAAATCCTTTAATATACCAAAGGACTGGAAAGGAGTGGAAGAGAAAAAAAGGAATGAAAAGCTATTAAGGCTAAAGAACTTAATAATTTTAAACACGTGGACTAAATATGAGAATCCGAAGGTAACGTTGGCTAGTCTTGTTAAAAAAAATAAATGAGAATGCTCAATCCTCAGCTCCAAGCCCACATACGATACAGGTTTACATGGGAGTTTCCGGATCGACAAGGAGTCGGAAAATAATGACTTTATCATGATAGTTCTATGTATCTGAATAGAAAGAAATCAACGCAGGCTGCGTTTCCTAAATAACAAAATAATGCGACAATTACTTTTACTTAGCAGACCGAAGAAGGATCCATGCAAAAAGAAAAAAAACAATATAGAGATAGAACATTTGGTCTATCGAACCTGCATAGCCCAAGAAATTCTTAAACTCGTTATAAGATAGTTTATCTCATTTTTTGGGATTATGTAACATTTGTGTTAACCTTTAAAACATTTTAATTTAATTTAAGATTATTTGTATTAGAGCTTAATAACTAACCTGAAGTAAACATGTAACGTTATAATTTGTTCGTTTATTCGATTTAACTAATATTTACCCACTTTCAGGTTACTTAATCTTGTTATTTAAATATTTATACTATTAAATGAGTTAATAAAAGTCACTATTCCTTCTGCATCGACTTACTTTCTAGAATATCACAATTTTTGACATTGACTTTCCAGTCGCAAGTTTGTCGGAAAAGATCAAAAGCAAGTCCTGTCGGACATTTTACCGCTGCCAATCGAGTACCGCCCTTAAGATCTGCATTGAGATCACACCTATATTATTTTAAAAAACAAAGTTAATTAATAGCAGTTTTAAGTAAATTAAGATTAAGGACGAGCACAACAGATGAATGGACATTTACTATTTTACTTGTAGTCTTGCTATACATTCTAATTAAAAACATCTAATAACTATTTGTTATATATCGGCAAGTTTTAAGTACAAGGGTATATTTAGGCTATATGTTAAATAGAATAGCTCTGTTATCAATATAACCTTTTCTAAGTCTGGAAAAAGGCATAACGTAGCAACACTTCCAAACAAAAACCATGGTTTAACTGAGTCAGGTGATAACACCCGGTTGACTACCTCTGTCCAGAGTCAAAGGGTACAGGTAAAAATCGATCAATGGTAACAGATGTGTATCTGTTTAGAGTGACAATGAACTAGAGGGCGCAAAAAATAATAAAGGCCTCAAGTGGGTGTTGTGGTGTTAGGATAGCGTACCCTAACATACGTACACATATTACAGAATGAAGAATGACATGAAATGTCAGTGTGATGATAGTGTTCCGTTAAAGAAAATGTTTAAGGTCCTCAAAAGGTCCGGATTGGATTCGACGTATATCCGAGCGATATATAAATTGTACGAAAATGCAGTTAGTTGTGTAAAAATTGGAACCAGAACCTCAAATGAATTTAAAGTCACTAAAGGCCTAAAGCAAGGATGCTGTTTGTCACCGACACTCTTTAAAATATACGTCCAAGAAGCATTGATGAATTGGAGAAATAAATGTAGATTTATGGGCATCGAAGTGGGACAAGAAACTCTGTATACATTGTTGTTTGCAGATGATCAGGTGGTGGTTGCAACCGATGAGGAAGATATAAATTATATGAATCGAAAATTATTTGAGGAATATGCCAAATGGGGGCTTACTGTAAACATAAGCAAAACAGAATATTTAAAAATTGGAGGAAATACCACAGATCTGAGGCTTGAAAACGCAGCCATAAAAAGGCTGCAACCAGAATAAATATCTAGGAAGCATCATATCAGCAGATGGCAGAGTTAAGATAGATGTACAAAACCGAATAACCCAAGGGAAAAAATTCATCCGAATACTGAATTCATTACTGTGGTCTAATAAAATAAAGATGCATACCAAACTTCGCGTATACAGAGCAATTGTAGAACCAATTACCACATATGGTGCCGAATGTTGGACGATGACAAAGAATGAACGAGATAAAGTAGACGTTGTGGAAATGGATTATCTTAGAAGGTCATGTCGAGTATCGAGAATGGAAAGAATCAGGAATGAGGAAATACAAAACCGTACAGGAATTAGATATACTCTTTCAGATAGAATACAAGGAAGGCAATTACAATGGTATGGTCACGTGATGAGAATGGAGGAGGAGCGGTGGCCAAAGAAAGCCTTAATGTATGTTCCGCCAGAAAGAAGGAAAAGGGGAAGACCACCAAATTACAAAAACAATGCAATCTAGAGGCTTAGAAGAGGGAGATTGGAGAGATAGGAAAAGATGGAGGCTGAAATGCGGGAAGCGGCAATCGCCGTAGGACCCCCGTTATATGATGATGATGATGAGAATGACATGAAAAATTAAAAGACCAAAGATAGTGGGATCTTATTGGATATAGAGGAGGATGATTAAAAGAGTTCGAAATATTTAAGCATGAAATACAAAAGAACCGGAGGACACTAAGATATTTCCAAAAGGATTCATAGATATATACATGTTAAATGAACCGAAAAACAAGTGGGACAAGTTAGAGAGTATAGACGACGATATACTTTTCATTACAAAGTATAACCCAGAAAATAAGAAAACAATCCAAGAAAAAAAACAGTAAAGAAAATCGCTCGGTACGAAAAAAAAAGATCCAACTAAACCGGCCAGGTAAACGACAGTTGATTTAAGTAGTATGGGTTTTTATAACAAAACTCTATATGTTTTCCCCAGTCAACGTTTTGGACTCAATTAATTATTAACAAATGTCAAAAACGGTAAATTTTTGCTTTTTTCATATATCATCAAAAATTAAAGCATTTAAAATAAATTTGTGAATAAGAAACTGATGAGGGGCATGGTGAAATTTTAAAGCTATTAGGGCACACCAAATCACAGCTCTTACGAAGCTATTCAACAACATCTACGAGACTGGTTACGTACTAAGAGACTGGCTACTATCAATATTCATTCCATTTCACAAAAAAGCCAATGCTAGAAAATGTAAAGAACATAGATTCATTAGTTTGATAAGCCATGTACATCAGGACTCGATGGTAAGGATATAAGACTGATTTCAAGCTTGTATCTCCAACAAAAAGCAACAGTACGATTAGAAAAAGAACTGTCCGAGATCTTCACAGTCGAAAAAGGAGTTAAGACAGAGTTGCATACTGTCACCGGCAATATTTAACATATACTCTGAACACATCTTAAGAGAGGCCTTGGACAAATCAGAAGATGTGAGTGCTGTAAATGACCAACTTATAAACAACATTAGATATGCAGACGATACAGTGTTGCTGGCAGATAGTGCGCAGGGGCTCCAAAGGTTGATGGATAACATTGTAGAAGCATGTAACAAATACCTTAAACAACAAACTAACAAAGGTAAAATAAAAATTAACTGACCTAAAACCAAATTGCAAAAAGGTAAAAATATTGATTATTAGTAAGTACATTGGCATAAACGCCCAAATTACCATTAACGATACACCGTTAGAAAGATTGGAAAAAATTATGCTATTTGGGCTGCAATATTAAGGATACTTGGGATCACAGCTACGAAATAAAAACTCGCATTAAAAAAGCCAGAAGCTCTTTCCACGGCCTCAGGAAGATTCTCTCCAGAAAGCTGGAGACCAACAGAAGATGATATAAAACGATTGGAGGCATTTGAAATGTGATTGCTACCAACGTATGTTAATAAGGGTCTCATATATACACCACATACGTAACATAACTATTCTCCAGAGGATAAGAAAAGGCAAAGAAATTATTGACACCATTAAAAACAGAAAATTGGCTTACTTCTGCCACATCATGCGTAATGAAAAATACCGACTTCTACAGTTGATTATACAGCTGCTGTAAATAGAATAAGATGGGTTAATGTGGTCGCCAAAATCTCTAGAAGATAGGCACATTTAGAAGAAGTTGCAAAGGAAGTTGCAAAATCAGGAAGTCAAAAATTTTGTTTTTTTTTATAAATGTTAATAACTTTTTTAAAAATAAAGTTGGAACTTTCATATTAAATGAAATGTTAAGTCTTGTAGTGTTTAAAATGTGATCAACTGTTCAAATTGATCGGCCAAACGTTATTTAATTTACAAAAGAGGTTAGTCTTCGTAAGTCGGTATATTTATTTAAAAACCCTTAAAAGGGCTACATCAAAAAACAAACGTTTTCAGAAGAACAAACGTTTTCAAAAGAGTTTCCAGCTGGTCTCCGTGTGTAGAGGTTTACTGAACATCACAGTTTTTTAACAACAAGATGTATAATCTTTTACAAGTACCTATATGTAATTTAAAGGGTTTTTACCCATGTATTTTGGTGGCTCAGGCATTTTAACCTAGCATTTTTAAAATTTAAACCTGATGGTGGACTGTTTAGTCCGAAAACTTTTGTTTTTTTGATGTAGCCCTTTTAAGGGTTTTTAAATACATATACCCACTTACGAAGACTAACCTCTTTTTTGTGATACGTATACAGCCAGCTACAGGAATTGTTTTCCTTGTGGATTTTGTTATTTAATTTGTTTATCTCAAATTATTTTTTTTTGCAAAAATTTAACCGATGGCTTTGAAATTTTTTTCATATTTTAAGCCCTACAAGACCCAACGTTGCGTGTAATATAAAGGCTGTAGGTTCATTTTAAAAAAAGGTATTAACATTTATGTAAAACCGAAATTTCTCACTTTTCACTATTTTTTCGTAATTTCAAAGATTTTTATATGAATTATAAATTAAGGTATTACTTTTTTTGGTTTCAAATGCTTCACTCTTTGCTGTTAGATAAAAAAAGTAAAAATTTACTTTTTTTTTACTTTAATTTATTAATAACCAATTGCGTTAAAAAAAACCTACTGTAGGAAACATAAAAGTTTTTGTTACAGAGGTACATACTACTCAAAACAACTGTCGTTTCCTTGGCCAGTTCAGTGTTACATTTCTTGCTCACATCTCTGATCTATAAGGATTAGACAATGAGAAATAATAATCTTATCTAGAAGGAAAAATAACTTCTAAATCTTAATAAACATTGAGAGGGATGAGACAAAACTCAAAAAAAATGATGAAAATAAAAAATATGAAGATAAAATAATCGTTGGCTTACTATAAGAAATACACCCACAATACATACACAGAACAAATAAAAAAGAAACATAAATAAGAGAAAAGGAACGCAGAAAAGTATAGAGTGTAAGAACAAGAAATTAAAAATACGGATTAAAACGAAAAGAATTTGGAGAAATTCAGGAAAACATAAAAAGACGAACCGGTAATGACGAAGATAAAGTGAAACATCATGTGGGTGTAAAGGAGATCGCAGACATCTTTTGGAAGATGGTTATGTCAACCAAATGCAATAAAATTTACATGAGTAATAATTTCATGTTATTGCGCCAACTCTGAATTTTGGTTCATAACGGCGTAGATTGTAAAAGTCTATAGAAATCACATTTTGTAAAGTCCATAAAACTGTTATTCATAAATACTATTAGTCTAGTCCCTATTGCGTGAGCGTTAGCTGATTAGAGGAACTACGTACTTTGGTAATGGTACTTTGCCTTAATACCCAGAGAAAGTTTTATGAACTGACGATTAACAAAATTTCTTTTTAGACTCTAATTTCGATACATATCCATTTAGATTTATTTGTATCAACTTACTCCGTTTTTAATCAAAATTCAGTTGGCGCAATGATATGAAATAATTGTAATTTCGAGACAAATCTATTCATATAAGATTTATTGCATTTGAGTAACATTAAATTTTCCATAAGATGTGTGCAAACTTAATGCATTCTTAAGGAAATATTGTAGCATGTTTGTAACGATTAAACCACATTCCATACCCTATTTTCGTATTTATGAACATATTACGATAATGAGAAAGATAAAATTAAAAATCAATTTCCTTAAAACAATTTAAATGTCAAGGTGATGCCTTATTTATATGGAGATATATCGATAAAATTCAGCTTAGAAATTAATGAGCTACAGATGTTTAGATTTAGGTGTTCCATTTGATCATTTTTTGATACACTCGACATATAAGCCTATTGTTATTGATAATAAAATTCTTTTTATATACAGAACCTATCAGTTACAAAGAACGGACATAACATATCTAACACGAAACTTCATTCCTGTTGTGTAGTAAACGTATCCTTCTGTGGTCAATATTATAAACAAAGTAGAAAGTACTAAATGGGCAGACAAGCTACATATGCATTAATTTATTGTTATAAATAAACTACAACATGGAATCCAGTAAATTCACAATAAGAAAGAAAAATAACAAATCAAATTCCTCGATATTTTAATCATACCACACATACCAAAAGGCTAAAATCCAATAGACGAAAACGAAGTACAACCAATTAGTGTCGACGAAATAAAACGAACCTTAAAGGAAATGAAAAATGGGAAAGCCACAGGAGCTGGAAACATACACATTCAATTAAAAAAAGTTGGGCCATCAATACTAATAGAATTGTTGGCAAATATCTTTAATAAGTAAATATTCCTGCTGGACTGTATACATTTTATCCACAAACAAGGAAACAAAAATAAATGTAAAAATTACAGAAGTATAAGCGTTATTAGCTCATTGGGGCAGTTGTACTGTCGATTGATAAAAGAACGAATCGAAAACCAATGTGAGGAAACAGAATACCAGAAAGAATTCCGTGCTGATAGATTTTGTGTTTATAATATCTGTATGATCTGTACTTTAACAAATTATAGAGAACAGTCAGAAATTTACAGACTCATTTAGTGTTCGCTGACCTAGATAAGGCTCATGATACAGTATCCTTAAAATATTGTTTAAAATGTTGACGAAGACAGGCCAAAGTAATGCGTACATTAACCCTATAGCAAACACGTATATACACGTAAAAAGTGCCCTTAAAATGGAGGGTAAAATTTTAGACGCATTTCCTGTGAATAAAATCTTGAGGCAATCTTTATCTTCAACTCTATTCAAAATCTATATTTAGGAAGTATTAAACACCTGAAGGACAAAAAGCACAGAGATGGGAATAAAACTGGGGAACAAGTATATAAAAAATGATATGGAGTAGTAACTATACCGTACTGAGGAGATCTAAAGAGATCGAAATACGTATATGTCATTATAATACCGTCATTTTGTTTTGTTTATTTACTTCATTTGGAGTACCAGAAATCGAATTCACTACGAATATAGGCCATGATGAACGGCATTTGGAGTGCAATTTTTAGACTTCCTTGCCGATTCATTCATAAAGCTGTTTGCTTCGCAAATTTTAGCGAGCACCGCGGCTTATATTTGAATTCGATTTCGCCAGGTAGAAATCGTATGATTTCTCTTTTTGTTTATATAAAAAATCTTTTCTTCTCAGATAATCATGTGATTATGATAAACGATGAGAAAAAGCTGTCTTATACGATTCGAAAGTTAACCGAAGAATACGAAAATTGAAGACCCTCCATAAACATTAACAAAACGAAAAACCTTAGATAAAAGAGATCCACAAATCTTGATTAGAGGTATAAAGCAAAGTGAAGGCAATTAGTAATCAATACCATTCAGTAATATCTAATTACCGATATAAATCGATCTATTCAATGAGGCAGCTTTTGGTCAATTGCACGGCGACCTTTTCAGATCTATTTTGGTCTATTATTTTTAGATTATATTTTTTACCCTGATTCTTCTTAAAAGGTCTAATAGCCTCGAGACTAAATCTTCCATGTAGCTTTTTACTGGAGGCTTTTGTTGCCTAATATAAAGGACCGCACATGTTTCATTATGTCACACTGACATAAAATGTGCTTTGCTGTTTCTTTTTCTAGGGTGCAAAATCTGCACAAGTCATTATCTGTCAATAGCATCAGCTTCAACGGCCTATTCACCTTACAGTGTACTGTTAGCACAACTACTGTAGCTTTGACTGTCTTTCCTTATTAAGTCTGCTGTACGTTTTGGCGAATGTTCTAATTCTAATAATTTGGCGAATATAATTAACTAATTCGCCCCTCTTTGTCCTGGTAAATTCCTCCACCATTCCAGAGATTTTAGAGCTATCCACTCTCTTGTAGCCGTTTTTGCTACCGCCTTTGTAACGCAACAGAAGGTTTCCGATCCAATAAATGGCATTAATTAGCCTTGTTAGGCCATCTCATCCGTTTTTCATTGCCTTCATGACTTTCGTGTTCTATTACTCAGGCTACCGTAGCCTTGCTACGGTCCCCTACTTTATTACGGGCAACCATACAATCTCATAATGGCTCAGAATTGACCTTTACAGAATTGAGTGCCTTAAAAGCTGCCTGGCAATCTGTGAAGATGGCAATTACTGGTGTTAAAAGAATAGGTTAGGAATAAGAGAATACTGTCGTTAATAAAGTACCAACATATCAAGGACGAAAACACATTCTTTCTTATTTAGGAACTATAATACAAAATGGCAGAAAATGAACAAAATTTGATGTAAACCCAGGATACAATAATCGCTTTTAAGACATTTATATCTAGAGACATAGTTCATTGTTGTTGCCCACAAGACCGAAAGTTAATGTCGATAAATCATTAGAAAAATAATGCTGATAAATCCAGATTCAGGACAAAGTGATCGACAAGCAGCAGAACAGTAGTTACTAGACATTAACACCATGCAACAGTTAATTGAGTGCGTTAATTCAAAAGATGAATTAATAGGGCACATAAAAGCTAATAATTTCAAATACTACGATCAGTAGAAATTTGAAAGGACAAAAATGGAAGCAAATACTTAATATCACACAGTTTCAAAATAAAACTAGAATAATCCATTTAGAATGAAGATCCCATTTAGAAATTGGTATTGATTTTTATTTCGACAGCTACTGAAAGCTCTTTGTCTAGTCGTCTCATGTTTATTTATACCTTACAACTTCTCTGCAGTCTCCATCAGTGCTTAACCTAAAGTATTCATCAGCAGGCCTGTTTTCACACAGCTGGTCGATCTGTGGTTCACCGCTATCGTCGTCATCATCATCTTGAGCGTAAGCTAAAATAAGAATACCGATTTAGTTTAACGATACAATAAAATTTTATACTTGTCAACATGGTTAGATTAAACAATTATTTTTTTGTCCACTTTATTTAAAATTTGTTCTGAGCATAAGACAATAAGTACAATTTTTTGACAAATATTGTTATGGACATATAGGAATTTTTTTTAGCGAGAAAATAACTGTAATATTAATTTACGATATTACTATTGAACACATTATTATTATCCAACTAAATCTATTATTACCCAAGTCAGTGGCGGCTTTTGGGGGTAGGCAGGATAGGCCGGACCTATCCAATAATTTTAAGAGCTTTAAAATTGAAAAACATATTCAAAAATTATGTTAATGCATGTATATAACTTTTAAATGTACTAAATCATTCAATACATTAGCGTCCGTTAAAACAACTATGTTATTATATTACCACAGAAAGCATCAAATCGTATTCAGGCATTTTAAATATTAATAATAGGCCCGATCGGAACTGGCCGACCCAGCTCACATAAGATCCCCGTACAAAAAGCGTTTGGAGTTAAGCAGCTTGTCGGAAAATGATTTATATTGTCGTGTTTATGTTTGCGGTTTAGGCACCAGACGATCGGGCCTACGCCGACTATCGTTATCACCTGTAACGTAATTATCGAATTGTAATATAAATTTTCTTTTAAATTATGATAAAAAAATATGTAACATAATCTACAATTGGAACATATTTTTTAACAAACAACGCAATTGCAAACAAGTTCACGGTTGCCCAAATGAATTTTAAAAAATTTGCAAAATTCGAAAAAAAACAATCACATTTACATTATTTCTATATTGCCTGATTGTATGCAACTTATATATGGCAATACAATAATAAAAGCTTATTTTCAAAATCGTTGTCGATTTTTATTACAAATCTATGTTGGCTATTACTATGTTTGCTAACTAAAACCAGACTGGCAATCAGGTTTGATCTTTTTGTTTTCTAGGATGGGTTGTCTTTTGAACAACAAGTTCTCAAACAGTTTGGATAGAATTGACAATATACTGATTATGCTATATAATTTAATTACTTTAGGTTTCTTCCCTGGCTTCGGCACTATTACGACTTTCGCTACTTTCCATTGAAATTACATCTTGAGGAATAGCATTGAACATCTGCAGAATACAACTTGTATCCTTACTGGGTAGCTTTTGTCAAACTTCTCCCGTTATAAGATTGTAGCCAAGTTATTTTTTCAAGTCGATTTCTTCCATGACGGTAGATTTCAATTTTCTGTGTGTTGATTTCTCAATTGTCAACTCCATTTGAATCGCCTCGTCTAAAACCCTTCCTATAACTTGGGTTTCTGTAGGGCTTGATAAAAAATAATGTGGTCGGAATATTTTACTAAACGTTTATCATACTTTGGCTTTTTCTGCATTCTTTTTTGCCCCTTGTTATATATTTATATAACAAGGGGCCTTAACCTTGTTAATATTTATTGGTAATTGACGGAGACAATTGTTCGAGGCGATTTTGTGTATTTTTATAGACTAACCATTAAAGTTGTAGTGGTAGCAATAGCTACCATATAAGTTTAAAGTTTATTTTGGAACGACAGTTACGCGAAATTTAGCGTTACGCACCTAACTTAATCTATTAAGTATCTCTGGTAAGAATGAATACCACGTCAACAAGGAATGTGCGCAAAAATCAGATATGATGATTTAGTTGGTATGTATAGCTACCAGTGCGCATTTCTGTCTGCCATATTTCACCGAAAACAGGTGGTTAAAACATTTTAGTCTAATGTTTAGTTGTTAGAAGTTAAAAAATTGTAAAATAATTTGGTAAGTATTATTATAGATTGTAGTGGTTTGAATTTTATTAAAAAACTGGTGATTTTTATTAAACTAAACATTATTGAAAAGTATCTTGTGGAGGCATTATCTCTTGCATAAAGATCGAAATATTCAATTTTGTTGACAAACCAAACTATTTATCAATAATACATCTTGAAAAAGTGATAAGCAGTAACTGAGTTTTAAAGTGTATGGCATTGTTTTGATATAGTTATGTCCTGAGTTGTTATAAGGTCATACGGGGTGTCCCAATTATTTTCATGTAACATTATTGTGAGTAAGGCGTATCCACGGTCTATATTTATTTGAGAAACTCAAATAATGACCAAAAAACGTCTCAACTAAGTAGAACTACAACGATTTCAATCCCGAGGATACCCTGATGCTGAGCGGTTCTTCTTCAAGTACAACTAACGTTAATTATTTGGGAAATAAACCAGCAGAAGATATTGAAATAGAAGTTAAGGGTACCTTCGATGTTTATGTCGAAATATGTTTACATTTGCAGTTCCTTATGCCAGCCAGGGTGAAGGAACTATAAACAATAATTGATCGGGATCAACTAATAATAATATAGCTTACATGAGTTTAAATGGAGAAATAATAAGTAAAAATTCGTTAGAATTTATATGGTTAAAAAATGTTTAAGCTCCCTTGAGTTATGAGAATTTTGAGTTCAAGGAAAGTATTAGAAATCATAATAATTACGGTGACATACATGTTGCCTTTCACCTTTTTTTTTGATAAGGATTCACAATCCAATGTATATGCTGAACAAGGAAATGTTATGTTGGAGCTAGATAACGCAAAATTTGAAGTCCAAGAGGACTTAAAATAAAAAACAAACTAGGTTAAATATAATTTATAAAAAATGGAATGTTGCTTTATGCAAAACCTTTTTTAAATCATATCATAATAAAAATTAACCTTTTGATTTCCATAATTGTTAGGTAACTGGTAAGTTGATGTACTTATATATTTCAATTTTTGTCATAAAACATAAGAATAATATAATGGTATCTATATTTGCCTTCGTCACTTTGTTATCATCCTAAAGAAAGAAACTCTGGTAGCTATACTTACCAGTAATTTTTGTGTAAATTTGGAAAAAAATTATTCGCGGAATTTTTTAAATATTTTTCCCGTACATCTAAAGTCACATTAAATATACACTAGGAGCTGTAGTTAACAAACCGATGAAGACAGTCTTGCATCTTAAAGAGTTAAAAAATAATACTATTTTCTTCATAGCATATATATTAGTAAAAATATTGTTTTGCGTTCATTGTATGTAGTATTTTTATCGACTTTTGATAATGTTAGCTATGGCGAAAAAATTAAAATCTTTACTCGTGTTGTTTTTACAACTTTCTTTCACTTGATACAAAGATATTAATGAGAAATCATAAAAACGAAATGATATCGGTATTGGATGTAAATAAGTTAATCTAGGTCAAAACGAAAGTACAGTCCACAACAGGTTTCTTAACCTATGCTGTTAGATCTTGCTGTTTATATAAGATATTTTGACTGGTCAAGAAACGGTAATTCTTTTCTCTTTATACAATTAATTACCCACATTTAAGTTATAAACCATACACATAAATAAAATTCTTTAAAATATATATCTATTATTTGATTTTAGTTACAAGAAGAAAGAAACAATGATATAGCTACAATATGTATTAACTATGTTTGCTTAAAAAAATCGAAATACTAAGTTTAACTCAAAAAAAAAAAATGGTTAACAAAAAGTTTTACTAGAACGTAGCGGATAACCTAGATAGCAATGTATAGGTAGGATGAGCGAGAAGAGTGTTATGCATACTCCAGACGTTGTTGGTACTACTAGTCATGTTAGGAACGGGGATATGGTATAGTGGGGACGTATAAAGTTGACGTTTATGCTGTTACTATAGTTGCACTTTCATATTTACTCCAATACTAATTGTGCTGAAGCCAGTAAAAACTTGTGTAAAGTAAATAAAAAGGCAAAGATTGGAGAACTAGTTTAACTAAAATCATCACCTAAATTTAAATCTACCGATTTCTACAAAACTTTTATTATCTATCGATAAATAAAATGGGGTTAGTGGCAACATTGTATTATACGCCTATACAAATAGCAAAATGAAATCGTAAAAATATATCACACATTTTAAAAATAGAAAATCAAAATAATACACAAAAATTTTTTTCGCTTTTCGAACCACAACTGGCTTAGAAGTCGGTTTAACAGATATTAAGAATGACGCCGTTGCATTGATACGTATTACATAAGAGTTTATTATAGAAAACTGTATCTGAGATGTAGATAGATCTCTTAAATATTCATTTGTTCGATTACATTCAGAAAAATGGGATAAACCTATTGGATAGTTGGAAAATTATGCTTCAAAATTTCCAGAGGTTCCATATAACTAATTGTACAAAGGTTGTACAATATTAGAAGAACGCAACTTTAAGCTGCGTTATTAACTAAAGCTCATTAGATGAAACTGTTTGAGCGACATCTCTTATTATTATATAAATTTGAAAATTATCGGGTTGTATTACTACTTAATGTGATAAGATATACAGACGATACACGATAAGACGATACCTAATGTGATTAGATATGCAGACGATATAGTGATTCTATAAGATAATATTGAAGGTTTCTAAATTCTGCATAATCGACATAACGAGGTAGGAGAGAAAATGGGCATAAAAATAAACTCAAATAAAACCAAATTTTTAGTATTTAGTCATGACTCACATCCCAATGCAAAGCTTCAATTAAACGGAGTCCAAGTTGAGAAAGTTCACAAAATGACATATTTGGGAACTGTGATAACGGACCAACTAAATCCAGACATAGAAACAAAACGTAGTATAGCAATGACTAAAACGTACTTTTATGAAAATGAAATAATTTATTTGCTACAATCATCTCAGTTTAGAACTAAGGCAAAGAATGGTTAAGTGCTATGTTTGGTATGTACTTTTGTATAGTGCAGAAGTGTGGACGCTAAAAATGAAGAAGTACTAAGGAGCACCAACAAAGATAAAAAACTGCTAAAGACTGTTAAACATCGAAAAATGTCGTTTCTGGGACATATAGTAAGGGGAAGTCGATATAAAATATTACAACTGATCCTTAAAGGCTAAATAGAGGACTGTA